AGGGGAATGGCCAATGAAGTATCAAGTCCCCTTAATTCTATTTTCATTTCTCTCCAGAGCACAAAGCAAGTGCTTTTGGAAAGAATGTTCTCATTTCCAAACCTTCCCTTTCCTTCCAAAAATGCTGAGAGATGTTCAAGGCTTTTGGCAGAAAGAAGAGGTAAGGTGGTGACTCAGACCTGGAAGCCCACTGGAGGACTCCATTCCCTATTGCCCAGCACTGAGGCGAGCTCCAGCAAGCCAGAGTACCCCACCACAAGTTTTGGCAGGCACACCAGTTCTCTTATTCAACACACTCTGTGCCTCGATAGTAAAAGAACAGCAGAAATACTTGGGAGACTCAAGGGATAAGAAAGGGTAAACTGCTGAAAGCTTCACAAACCGGTGAGAGAAGAGGTCAGTTATGCTGGGGTGCTGGGGCCAAGACTGTGTAGTGGAAGTAGTAAAGAAACGAGGACCAGGGTGTGTAAGCTGGATTCTGACACAGTGCCCTTGAGCAAGTCATCTCTTTGGGTTTCAGTGCGGCCATTTCTAAAAACAGTGCCTCACTCTAGGGTTCTCCTGAGAATCAAATGCCTTTCCAAGAGTTTTGCGGTAAGAACTACGATGACTGAGACTTATGGGCGCTTTACTTTCCTCAATCTTCACAACTCTGAAAAGAGTTGGCTCTCACGGGTCGGGAAAGAGAAGAATACAGAAATTACCCAATTTGTTCAAGGACACATGGCCAACGGCAAGTAACGTGTACTGCAAAAGCTAATGCTACTGTTCCTGCCACTCGGGAGGGGAACGGCGTAGGGGAAGGATGTCGCGAATCAGGAGTGTCGAAGCGGAGGGGGGCCGAGTGACGGTCAGACTCACAAACACGGTGGCTTTGGCCGCTTTGCGCAGCCGCAGGTACTTGAGCCGGTACTTCTCGTTCTGGCTCTTCTTCGGGAGCTTTTTCATCCTGGCCTTGCCGGACTGCAGCGGGGTCCGAGGCGAGGAGGCCGGGCCGCCCAGCAGGCTCATGGTCCGGCCCCGCTACGGGGCTTTTGGGGCGCGGCCGGCATCGGCTTCCAAACGGAGAAGCACCGGTTTCGTCTTGTATGGGCTGCCGGGATCCGGCCTCTTAGGACTCTATCCTTCCAGAACGTTCGCAATGCGGACGGCGGCGCCAGAAGTCCGGCAACCGACCCCGGCCCGGGACCTCCCCGCACTTCCGCGTCTGTCTCGGAAGTGAGCCCTGGCCGGAAGTTACGTAATGGCGCCGGCCGAGTGTAACTTCCGGGCCCGTGAGCCTGCGGTGGTCGCGGCTCTGCTGGTCGGCCTGCCGCTGCAAAGGGGGCGGGTGAGAGGGCTCTGTGACTGCGCTCTCTGCGCTTAGCTGAGGAGTCTTTGGAGCCAACTCCTAACCCCTTCCCAGCGCGAACGTCACCCGAGCTCCCTCCAGCCCGCTGCGTTTCAGCGCGGGTTTTCCACACTTCCTAACGCAGTCGTCCCGTTGTGGGACGCACTTGAACCCAAGAGCTGGGACTGCGGCGTTCTTGTATAGAGCTCGCAGAAAGGTCTCTTGAGAGGCTGTGAGGGCAGTGATTTGACGAGGATCTGGGACACTAGTGAACAGAAAACCAGGCCGGTGCCTCCTCAGGTTGCAACCTACTCGGGAAAACAAGGTCCAACACGCAGTTTTGATAACATGCTAGGGCCAAGGCACTTGGTAAACGTTTCCTTGACGACACTAAAAGTATGTGTCTGGACCTGTACCTATGTTTATTTAGCGCTAATTTTGTAACCAAGGAGTCTCCGAAGTCATCAAATAAAGAGGGTAGGCAATTGTTTAGGAAGCAGTATTGGTAACGGCTCCGATAGGAAGATGAAAGGCTTGTGTTGCTGCTTATTCCAGCAATGCCGCTAACCGGCCGAGTGAGCCTCTGCGTGTCACAGGTCTTCCGTTTATGAACGGAATCACCTGTTTAGAATAATGGGAACTAATGGGGGTTCTGAGCTGTAAGATACTCCTAGTGATGTAAACTATAATTACAGTTACATGTTCCAAATGTAGACTTCTAGAGTTGTATATGGAAATTAAGGAAAGTGTGTACATAGTTAAAACAAGTTCAGTGAATTACAGCAGGAAAATGTAACGCTAATGGGTCTAAGTAACTTAGTTCAAGAAGAGAGGTTTAGAATTGATGACCCCCAGATATGTAATTTCTGATAACTAAAAAATAGTGACAGGGTCTAACAAAATAGTTTTAAAGTTCTTTTATGTCCCTCCATGTTGAAAGCTGCCCTTTGTTGGACTTGTCTGGGTTTTAATAGAGCAACTCTTCAGGGAGCCAATGTGCTTTCACAAAGGCAGCCGTAACAATCATTTTGGAAACTGCCAGGAATATTTTCAGCCTACAAAATATCCTCAATCCTACCTTTGCTAATATAGATTGGTTCTTGGAACATGAGAAAAGATAACAGTGATAGGAAGAGATTGTCTTTTTTTTTTTTTTTTTAATCTGTTTGCCAACTGCATGATTTACTTGCTGTCCAGCTGTATTTTGTCCTTGCAGGCTTTTTGATCTGACTTTATTTTCACTATTCCTCTTCATATACTGGTATCATAACTAGTGGGAGGAAAGTGTGATCATTGCTTTAGTTTTCCAGCTGCTCTGGCTATGGATTTCAGTGGAATTTGCATTAAAATATTTTTCATCACTAAAAACATTTCCTTACAACTCATAAAACACTGTGCAAATTTTAGATATTTAGAACGTATAGTACAAAGAAGATTTTTAAAAATCCACAATGTTGCCACATAGGCATAAAGATCTTCATTCTTCATTCTTTTATTTCACTAAAATAAAGTGAATTTTTTTTCACTTTATTCACTTGGCAGATTGCCCCACACATTCAACAGCACATAGGGTGAGCCACTTTTAACATGTGTGTTTAATACTTTAATGCATTTTGATGTACATTGGATAATACAATGTTTTCTTCTTGCTCACTTACCATTATTATAGTTATTTTGTGGTGTTATTATGACTGCTTTATAAGCATAATTTCAAACTGATACTTAACATTCTAGTTATGGCATAAGAATTTTACATGTTTACTTCCATGTTATTTGGATTTTTGGTCATCAGTTGCTGTGAAGCGCACCTTTGTGCACAAAGCTTTTTTATTTTTATTTTTTAAAATATTTTATTTATTTATTTGACAGAGATCACAAGTAGGCAGAGAGGCAGGCAGAGAGAGAGGGGGAAGGAGTATATGGGGCTGGATCCCAGGACCCTGGGATCATGACCTGAGTGGAAGGCAGAGGCTTTAACCCACTGAGCCACCTAGGTGCCCCACAAAGCTTTTTTTAGACAAGATTATTTAGGGGCTGGGTCTGTGCGCTCCAAACAATGTAACATTGTCAAGCAACATTCAGTCACTTATTTATTCAGAAGAGTATTTATTGAGTGCCCGCTATGACACAACTTTTAGGAAACTTGTTTAAGAGGAAAAGACAGGTCAATAAATGGGCAGTGTTAATACAGTCTACTGACTTTTATCTCAGAGGTAGATATTGAATGATATGGTAGCACATAGTTAGGGAAGAGGGGAGGAGATTGGAAACCATCCTGAAGAAAATATGGCTGGACAGACTCTGAAGGAGAGCTGAGGGCTGGCCAGTGAAGAGCAGAGGAGGGCATCTTGGGCAGTGGAGACAGCACATTCAAAGGCTCAGCATCATCAGAAGCAAGGGAACAATGTAATTTTTCTGCTTACCTATATGAAAAGGGGTCTAAATGGCTTATACAAAAATTCTCTGAAGAAATCTGCAACTCTGAAAAGAAATATCCAATGAGAGACAACCTGGTATTGTAGCCTGAGCAGGGCCTCTGAACTCAGACCAAGTTTCCATTAAGTCCAGACACAGGAATGGAAGCTAGAAGCTAAGACAGGGTAATGAGTCAGAGAAGAGAGAAGGGGCTCAACAGCACTTTACTGTCATTCCCTTATAGTTCTAAAGTGATTGCTATTCAGTGATTGGCTCTAAGTGGAGAAGGCATAGCATCCCCTGGGATATTAGAAACACATCTGGGCCCATCAGGAGTTGTGAGTCCACAGTCCATAATCCCAGCCCTTGGCGTCATGAGTCTCTGGTTTAGATGATGAAAACCACCATAGCTCCACCCACAGCTGAGGCGTGGCCCTAGCCTTGTTCTATGCTGGCTTAACTCCAAGAGCAGATAAGTTCCTGCATCAATATCTTCTGGCCATTCTGCGGGCCACACAGGGTCTGGGCAAGTCAATGACTTCCACAAAGCAAGCTGGCAAGTTCCTAGGATTTCAGGCCACAGCACAGGGTTTCCAGGGATTTCACATTTTTATTCACTTTATTCACTTGGCAGATTGTCTCACATACTCTTTGGGTTAAGCTGAGTGTGCATCCTAGAAGGGTCATGGAGTAAATATACAGAGAAGAACCTGCCTCCATAAATAGCCTTTAGAATTTTTCCTTGTAGAATATTTAGACTTCTGGTTTAGTTTTAGTTTAGTTTTTTTTTTCTATCATAGAATGCTCTAGACCTAATTTTTTTTTTAGTACTCTGACTCTTCAGCTCCAACTTTCAGATTTGTTTTCATGCATTGATTTTATCTTCTCACCTTTAGGAAAACATAATACAGGATGTATGATTCAGCTGAAACCACACTTAGCATTTCTAAAGTGGTATTTTTGTACATTAGTATGTGAGGCTTGTGAAGAAGGAGATAGAGTTTTACTTACCATAAAATTTTCTTGCTCCGTGGGTTTTTTTTTTAAGGTTTTATTTATTTATTTGCCAGAGAGAGAGAAAGAGAGAGAGCGCGCACAAACAGAGGAAATGACAGGCAGAGGGAGAGAAAGAAGCAGGCTCCCGTTGAGCAGAGAGCCCGATGTGGAACTCGATCCCAGGACCCTGGGACCATGACCTGAGCTGAAGGCAGAGGCTTAACCCTCTGAGCCACCCAGGTGCCCCGCTCTGTGGGTTCTTAACTATGGGTTTTCATCACCGATTCTGTGGGTGAGATGTTTAGGTTTTGAGGGTTCTAAGCCTGCCAATAATGTCATGAAATCGACCACTGTGTCAATGTTGTGCTTCTGCGTGGTCATGTCCTTCAAAACACATAAGACACTCAACCAGCTAAAAGAGATGAGCTCAGAGATGTTGGCTCGGAGGAAAAGAAGGATCACATTGAGGTCATTAATGGGGCATCCCAGCATCTTTCTGCTCAGGAGATCAAAAGCTGGGAGCATCTCGTAGATGGAGAGGAGTCGTTTGTCCCACCGACACAGTCGTGTGAGGTTGTATATTATCACTGGAACCAACAGCGTGTATATTGTTAAACTGGAGAGACTAACAATTTGCAAGACCGACAGAGAGGTCAGCCTGCACGTGATCAGATGGGGCATGTGGGTCTCATCACTTAGCAGCCCTGTCTTGACGGAACAGCTGAATTCCTCTTGGAAGAAGACGTCCAGGTGGAAGTGGCCAAGGTACAGGTAGATGACTGAGGTGAAGAGGAGCAAGAGTGAGTTCCTCAGCAGGTAGGCAGCCACTAGGGAATGTGAGCGCTGCTTACATGCCAGGTACCGCTCTAGCAAGGGGAATTCGAAGTATCGTTCTTTCCGAGCCCTGGGCAGGGGAAGAAAGGAGGCAGGGTTAGGAGAGATCACTTAGAACCACATCCTGAGAGAGCCATGTGGGGAAGTAATGGAATCTGAGTACCCGACGTGGTGTTCTTGGCTCCCGTGATGATCTGCCTTCCCTGAGCATAACTCCTCCTCTCCCCAAAGGATGTGTGAGTAGATTTTCATTCTCCAACCAGAGTGCAGTGTGGTCAACGCCGTGAGCGATTAGTGGATAACAAAGGGTCACACTCGACTTCTGCCCCGCAGAGCACGCTAAACCTTCAAGCTAAAACAGGATCCTTAGGTAGCAATAGGCTTATTAAATTGGCACTGGCCTGGGAGTCTAGATAAACACATTCTGGTTCTTGGTCTGCATACTTTGTGGATGATTTCTAGGGCAACCTAGAAATTTATTTTATTTTATAAATTTATTTTATTTTATAAAAACAAACATGCTAACAGGTGTCTGCGGAGAGCTGTGGTGTTCAGGCACGTGTAAGCCAGTCTTGGCTCCGAAGGAGCTTATGGTCCGGCTTGTGGGGAAGGGGCAGATACAATATGCAAACAGGAAATGAAAATCATGCTTGATTTGTGGCTAAAATGATGGATATAAACCACGGTGTCATAAAAAGTTAGGAGAGAGGTAATGGCACGGCCCAAAGCGTTTAGAAAACTTTACGGAGAATACTGTCTTAGACATGTAGTAGGTAGATCAAGTTCAGAGAGGTAGATGGGAGAGGACATTTTTTCAGAAGATAGACTGTGTGCACAAACATGAGACAGAATACGGTTTCAGGTCACAGCTCAACGCTCCTCTTCGTGTGGCTTCCCTTGGCTGCCCGATTTCAAACTGCACCCCTCCACCACCTTCCAGCTTTCCTGACCCCCTCACTCAGCTTTACAATTCTCCCCCCTTCATACCACTTATCTTCTGCCATATAATTTGCTTGCGTGTTGTGTTTATTTGTTGTCTGTTTCCCCTCAGTAGAATGGATAGGTGTAGCTTTGTCTCCCCCCGACCCTTGCCCCAACACACACAGCACACACCGGGTCAGAGGCACCCAGAACAGCACCTGGGATGCAGCAAGGCTGTGTGAATGCTTCCGTGAATGAACGGTTATTCAGGAGAAGAGGAGGAGACTGCGGGTGGGGGGGTGGGTTTCTGTCACTTGGTGGTCAGAGGTGTGAAAAAGTAGTTGGTGACAGTGTGTGGAAGGCCTTGGAAAAATACTTGGGAGAATTTGGATCTTCTTCTGGAGGCATGGGGGGAGGTTCTGAGTGGGGGAATGGTACATGGAAGTGGTACATTAGAGAGATTAGTCCCCCGTGACTTGGGGTGTCTTTTCTCCCCTCCCTGTAGAGAAATGATAGAAAGTGGGTGAGATGGTGTGTTAAACACGTTGGATTCTTGAGAAGGATGGTACAGAGGATAGTTTAAAGATGACCCTGCAAGGATATCGTGTTAGCGCGCAGCTGAGTCCTTCAGAAAGAGGTGGGAGAGGCCACTCACTTCTCCAGCTCATCCCAGAAAACGTGGGGGTCCGAGCTGTTCTGCCGGATCTTCAGCATGTGCTGGACCAGGCGGATGGAGCGATTGTAGGATTTGTCCAGTTCGCTGATGATGAAGAGCAGATCCGAGCTGAGGGCCGGCGCGGCCGCATACTGCCACAGCAGCACCGGCAGGTACATGGCCACCGCCAGGGCCAGCAGGGAGTAGGGGAGGGCCTGTGGGGTGACAGTGAGCAGAGGAGGGAGGCCCAGGGGGCAGGGGCCTTGTAGAGAGAGTTCTTAGTGAGGGGTTCTCATTCCCGCCTCCTGCCTTGGAAGGGGGAGGCAGTGTGGGCAACGAGCCACCACAGGCCCAGGACTTAGGGCTCTCTGCTGACTTGGCCTAATATAGTGAAGCCTAGAGAAGAAGGGATGGCGGGTCTCTCCGCTCCCCAGCTCCACTCCTCAGATCTCGGGTCTGTGTAGGTGTGGAGGACCTCAGGGAGGACAGGAGGAGGGGGAGGGATAGAGGGAGGAAAAGAGGGAGACAGAAGGGGAGAAGAGAACAAAGAGAGAACATGACAACCCTCCCCTCTCCCCGTCCCCCACGAATGTTAGCCTGGGTCGCTAACCAGAGATCACGGCCGGCTGTGGTCATGGAGTCACATCCCCGGCGAGAGCAACCTTCATTCCCAATCTTCACTCTCCATCAACTTCTCTCTCTCTGACTGTTCCAAGTTCTCATCACCAGGCATCCAGAGTCTGTTAGCTTTCAAAGCCCACCCACCAGGGGTCCTAACATTGCTGAGAGGGGGAGGTCCACTCCCACATCCTGCATGCCTTCCCTGACTCCTGTGCCGTGGTCTTTTCAGCTCTGCAGCCATGGTCACGCCGAACGACACCATCGGGGACTGTCTTGGAATTCTTTGGAGGCCACTTCTGTTATGCATGCACACAAGCTGACACTTAGGTACGCGGGAGTCTTGTGTCCTCACTACACACTTTGCTACCTGAGATAAGCCACTATTTGGCCACAGTAAACACTCTACTTGTTTCAGGCTTTTTGAAGCTACATTTGTGTGAGGTGTTTTACATGCGTATTTCATTTGACCATCAGGAGGATGCCACCAGGCAGACACTATTAATATCGCTATCTTCCAGACAAGGAGAGTGAAGCATGAGAAGCTTAAGTGACCTGGACAGGGTCACACATCTCATGGCGGGGGGAGCAGGATCAGGAACTAGGCAGTCTGATCTGGGAGCTTATTGCCTTAGGGACTACTTGACTAAAGCTTCTGCTGAGGAAAGGATGCTTTTTATTTTAGAAGAGAGTTTGAAGAAAAAAGAGGGAGGATGCATATTTGGTTGCACCTAGGTAGAGAAGAAAAGGGTGTGCGCATGTGTGTGTGTTTCTGAACTAAACACCAGAGACAGGTTAGGAAAACTACACCCGTCCACTCGAGAAAATCAGAACCTTTTCATTCCTGTTCAGGAAATGGCATTTCTTGAAAATAAACGTCAGCCCCAGAGATTTGGTCTCAGTGGGTTTGAAATGGAGCCAGAGAATCTGGGTTTAAAGGGCACTCAGGCGATCTTGACAGTCAGACCGTCTGACTCTTTTCTGACATTTGAATCCCGTCTGCAATATCTTGACCTTTTGGCCATCTGGATCCTGTTTGAACACTTCCAGTGACAGAGACCCCCAGGAACTCTTTCCATTAAGTCTCTGGTTTTGTCTGGGTCCCAGACCTGAGTGGCCTTTGGAGGCCTTGTAGACTGACATAGCTGGAAAATGTCACGGGTGACTTCTGATTCAACACGGTGAATTGGACCAACACATGACTTTGGCTCCCTCATGAAGCCCCATGAGGATGACAATAAAGGGATTAAAAAAAGACCTAATTCTATCAGGACAAGGAAAACAGGAGACAAGAGCCAGCCGTAAAATGTTGCGAGCTGGAAAGTAGAGTGCTAGGAAGCAGCAGCGCGTGGGCAGGATGGGGAGTTGAGGCAGGCCAAGCAAGCTGTTTTTGCACTACAGAGCCAGAAAGACCCAAGAATTGCGGATATGCGGAACCTCTGAAAATGGGGTACAGGTGGGCTGTCAACAGGAATACTGAAAACACAGACCCGCAGATCCTCCCTAGAACATGATGCTCTTATCAAGCGACTGCCCTTTCCGTCCCCTGGCAGAGGCTTATGGTTCACTCTCTGGAAACATTAAATGAAAGAGCTTCTGCACTTGTCTCCACTGAGGGCAGGGGAACAACACTGAGGACCATGTTAGTTGAGTGACTACTGAGTGCTCAGACCCACAGCTGTGTTCCGAGTGGGTTGGCAGCTAAGCTTAGAACCCACTGCTCTGTGCCTCCTCTGCACTGATAAGGATCCCCCCGTGATTCTTCTTGGGAACTGGCCCAAAAGAAAGGATCACATACACCCATGTTTGAGGGTTTCCCGATGAAATGGCCCAAAGGGTTCACTGTAATCAGTAGACTGGTCAGCCAGTATCACCCATAGGCACAAAGCATCCAACCAGACAGATCACTGGACACTTGAAGAAACACAAGAGTCAATGACGAAAATAAAAAAGCAGGGGAGTGGGGTGGCTAAGAGGCCAGAGAGAAGACACTCATGGGGCTCTGGCCTGCCCTGCCCTGCCCCAAAGTGACCGGATGGAGCCCGGGCCCACCTACCTTGTGAGGCCACAGGGACTTCATCTTGTGTGGGCCAAGCTTGTCCGGTTCATGGTGAACGAGTGAATCCCAGCAGGAACTGTCCACGTAGGCGGCCTGCCGGATGGTGAAGTTACTGGGAGAGAAGCAGCGGATGGGAGGCCCTGGAACAGGAACACAGCGTGGAGGCAGCCCGGAGCCGGAGTGGAGGAATGGGGACCCAGGGATCAACCAGCCGAGAGCTTCCCAGGGGTTGCCACCACGGCTCTGCCGATTTCCGTATCTGGCAGGCACTTTCTCCGTCCCAGGCCCCAGTTTCTGGCTGCAAGGCCGAGTCACCACAGGTCTGTTTGGCTCAGGCCTGCCAATGTGACTGGCCTTTGATGTGGGTTCTTTCCTCTCAAAGCTCCCCCTGGACTCCCAGACATGCAGGCAGTGGGGGCGCCTACTCTCCAGGGTATGGGGTAAGACCTTCCTGAGGGGACTGACATCTTCTAGGTTCTAAACTTTAGAGGGTTAATTGCCTGGGCTTCTGAGACCACATCAAGAGGAGGGGTGAGCAGGCTGTGCAGAAAGGAAAGTGGGCTTGGTTGGGGGAGAATTTTGTTTTCCTGTCATTCTCTAGAGAGAGGCAGAAATGGGAACCAATGGTTCTCTCCATCTTGTGGGAGAATGAAGAGGCAGTGAGAGGTTGATAGGCCTTCTTGGGAAACACAGTAAGCTAATCGCACAGCCAGAAAAGAAAGCCATAAATCCCAATTCTCAGAAGTCTACCTTTTCTTTAACAAAGGAAATCTGCTGAGTTAATGTAGTGCCTAGAACAGCAGACATATGTGTCTGTTCATGTTTGTGTGTATGGCCACAGTCTGTGGGGAAGAAGAAATGGATTTACTTAGCACCTATATGTCAGGCTTTTAACATAAGTCCTCAAATCGGAAGCCTTGGAAGGGGAAAAGGAGAGTAGGAGAAGGCTGAGACGGTGAGTGGCTCATCTGAAGCGTGGCGGACTAGAACCGTTAGCAGTCCTATGTCCTGAAAACACAGAGCCCCAATCTCTCTCATCCATAGGAAAATGAAAATGAAAGTTTATTTTATTGCAATGACATAAAACATTGTGAAATACCACGATTAAAACTAGATATTTTTATTACAAAAGTTGGGAAATGATTTTCAAAATTTTCAGTGCCTCGGCTCTGCTGATGCCCTACCCACCGCCCCAACCCCTGCCTCATATCGTCTGCCTTTTGGGTAATGCCCAGGCCAAAGTCACCAAAAAGCTGGACATGGTGGGAGCTGTCTCATCTCAGAGCCCATGCAAAGAGTGAAACGAAGTGGGGTCTCTTGTACACTGGGTCTTGGAGGCCACTTACCGGCAGAGAACTCTTGGGCGAAGGCCAGGGACATCAGCAACAAGGGGAAGCCCACAGCTATGAACTTGACCATGCGGTCCAGGGGAAGTTCCAGGCGCAGTCCTTTGAGGCGGGGGCCTCTGCGGTCCGGTAGCAAGGCATCTGACAGCATGTATTCTGCAGCTGCGTGTGCGAGCGACATGGTGCCAGGGACCTTCGGGGTGCAGTGGCGGAAGGAGGGGTCCCAGGACAGGTGTGGGGGAGGGATGGCAGCTTCAGGCAGCTGGCTTTGAGCAGACAGTGACTGTAGCCCCAGCCTCACGGAGATATGTGCTAGGAGCAGGCACTGGTTCTCTAAATAACCAGCCAGGCCCTGAGCCAGGCATCTGGTAATTAGAGGGAGGCACAGCTTAGTGGGTCCTCACTGGAGGAAGGTCGGGCTTCAGCTGGGGCTGGTGCCAGGCTGCTCTCTCTGGATTGTCCCCTAGCAGATGGAGTCCGTGGTTTTATGCTGCCCTCTCATTAATAAAGTATTTTTGGTGGGGTGGTGGAGAGAAGGAGGGTGGTGGAGCCGGGCCCCCCAAGTAATTGGTGTGGAATTTGGGTGGAGATTGCTTAAATCTGTTGAGGGCCCTCATTTTGTGGTTAGGGGGGAGTGGAGCCCCTAAGACCCAGCCAGGATTGTTGCTCCTACATAGTATTCTTTGTCTCCACGATGAGTTTTGCCTTGGGCCCAGGCTCTTTCCCAGAAACTACTCTATATTTGCTGTTAAATTTGCCTCTGGTCTTCTCCCACAGTTTCAACCGCATACGTACAATTTCCATCTATTTACAATTTTTTTTAAGCCCCCATCAGTTCTCTAGAAAGCTGCGGGATGGGGGGCAGTATTGAATAGTGGAAAGAACATGGTCTTTAAATTTTAGAGGGAAAAGTCTCCCACTGGAGACCTAGCAGAACTCTTTTTTTTTTTTTTTTACGTGACTTGAGGAGAGTCACTTTTGCTTCAGTATTCTCATCTATCAAACGGTATTATGTTGTAATCTTAGAATGTGAGGGTGATTAAGAGTATTTGTATGTGAAGGTGATTTGTAAACTGTAAAGTGCAGGGAAAATGTCAACTCTATTTCAATTTGCTGGACCTGGGTGGGTGGAAAAGCAAACACTGGGGCCTAGGGCACTCTTGTCTCTAGCACTATCTTGAGACTTGGCAGTTGAGGCCTTGACCTTGGCCTTCACACTGGGCCCCTTTGGTGCTATCCTTCTCACAAGGCAAGAGTCCCTGGGGCTGAGGGGAAGTGTCCATTCAGAGCACGTGCACCGGCTGTAGGACACTCTCCTAGCACTAGGACACTGTAATTCCCTGTTGAGGTGGCCCCGGCCTGCTTCCAGGGCTGGTATGGGCCTTCTCCTCGGGTGCATCCTCCCAAGGGCAGATTGTGCTGCTAGTGTGCACTCCTGGGCCTAAGAAATAGCTTGTTGTAGGGATTTCGGTAGAATTTAAAAGTTGTGGGGTGCCCACACATAAAAATCATGTGAAGCTTCTTGCAATGTGGGACTTACGTGGTTTGAAAAGAAGGGATCTGGAAAGTCTGGGGATTCTAAATTCAAATCTGGTATTCCTGATGATGACAACAGAGGGTGTGTGTGTGTATGTCAGTGTGCGTGTCAAGGTAGACAGAACATATTTTATTTAACATTTTGTTAGCTTGATTTACAACTTTTAAGTGTTTAGATATATGGTCTGTGAGCCTCTATTTGAACTGCTTTTCCTGGGCTCACAAATGTTTAGGCTGGACCTGCCTGTCACTTCACTCCCAGGCTAGAGGCCGACTCTGATTCAGAGCTGCCCTGTGTGTTAAATGGACTGACCCAGGCATGGGAACAGGACCTATTCTATTCCCCATTTTTATCTTTTCTATTCCCCATTAGTCTCTCTACACTCCCATTTCAATATCTTTTCATTGTGTGTGTTTTGCCAAATGTTCATTATTGGTTTGTATGTATGTATTTTCTTTTGCCTAAATCAGTTTACATTTTGTTGGAAGATATACAGACATTAGTAATCACATATCATAATTGTACAGTTCAATGAACTATCTTCTGATCAAGAAATAGAACCTTACTAATACCCCAGAAGCTACCTTTGTGCTCCTTCCCAAGTATCATTTCCCAAATGGTAACCATTATGCTAACTTCTAATAACATACATTAGTGTTGTCTTCTTTGTACATTCTAGAAACGGCATCAGATGGATATACTCTTTTGTGTCTGGCTTCTTTTGCTCTACATTATGTTCTTGGTTTTTTTTGGTGGTTTCAGTTTGTTAAAATTTGGTCAAAGAATTTGCATTTATATTTACAAAAAAGAACAAGCTTGATCTAATTTTCCTTTCTTGGAAGGACTCTGGCACGTAATGCCGGCCTCATGAAAAGAATTAGAAAATACTTCTTTTTTATTTGTTCTCTGAGAAGTTTGTGCAAGATCAGTGTCAATTCTCTTCACTAAATATTTGCAAGAATTCATAGGTGAAGCCATCTAGGCATGGGGTTTTCTTTGTGGGGAAGTTTTAGTTAATGGATCCAAGTTCCTTAGTAAGTATTTGACTATTCAGATTTTCTGGTCTCTCGTCTATTAGCTTAAAGGCACTAGTTTTCTATTGTTGTGTATACAACTGTCCTAAAACTGAGGGCTTGAAACAATCATATATTCATTTAATCTCCTCCTTTGCCTGTTGACGAACATTCATTTTGCTTGTACTCCTTGTGCCACAGAAAATGTACATTTCCCCTTGTGGTCCTTCAAGAGAATTCAATTGGAATATATATCGAGGACCTAGAAGTTTTAGGTCATAGGGCAGCATATCTTGTCTTGAGTACTATCATATTGTTCTCTAGAATGGCCACAGTACATAAAGTTCATCTCAAAGAGTCTGTAGATCAGAAATCTAAGAGCAGCTTGGCTGGGTTGTTCTGACTCAAGGTCTCTCATGATGTTATAGTTAAGATGTTGGACAGGGGTTGCGCAACCAAAGGCTTCAGCGGGACTGGAGGATCCAAATCCAGGCTCACCCAGTGATTATACTGGCTAGAGTCTTAAGTCCTCATTGGGTGTCGGCAGGAGGCCTCCATTTCTTACCCTGGGGGCCTCTCCATGGGGGCAACATGGCAGCCGGTTTTCCAGAGCAGATGCTCCAGCAGATAGATCAAACAGGAAGCTGTAGTGCCTTTCAGGACTTCACCTCTGACACTGCAATGGCTGTTTCTTTTTTTTTTTTTTTTTTTTTTTACTGTTCAATAGAAGGGAGCCATGAAATCCAGCCCATATTCAAGGGGAGGGGAATTAGGCACCACATATTGAAGGGAGTGTCAAAAAATATGTGGAATATTTTAAAAACACTACAGGTGACTAGTTAAATTTTTGAGGAAATTGTCCATTTTTCATCTAAATTGTCAAATTTATTTTGCATACCAGTATTTACGATATCCTTTCATTATACTGTAGCAATAGCTTGTCATGAAAACATTGAATATAAAGCAAAGTTGAAAGCTTATACAGTGAATATCTGTAATATTTCCATCATTAGTATATGTTACTCTGCTTGATTTTTTTACACATCCATCAATCCATCCCTCTATCCACCCATCAATCGATGTTATTTTTCTGGGTACATGTCAAAGTAAATGACAAATATTCGCGTACTTCTCCCTAAATAATTCAGATGAATATCACTAATTATACTTAAAATTTGTTTACAGTTTGTTTCTTTCAAGGTAAAATTTACATACAAGGTGCACAAAACTTAAGTATGCATACACTGAGTTTGACAAATGCAGACACAGGTGTAATGCACACCTAACTCAAGATTAGAATGTTATCATCACTCCAGAAAATTCCATTTTATTCTTTTTTAAGGATCCTTATTTTCTGGTGAAAATCTCCACTCTTTCGTCTGATTCATCCATCTTATTAATCAGAATTATTTTAAAATCCTTGTTGCCAACTCCAGAATTGGGACGATCTGAAGGTCTGCTTCTACTGTCTCTTTTTTGCAAATGGTCTTACCTCCTTGTCATTTTTGCACTACATGCTGAACACTGAAAGAACCAGAGATGGCTCTAGATGATGCTATTTTTTGTCACAGATGCTTCCCCTTTCTTTCCTTAGGTACACAGGGCAAGATGCTCATCACTGAATCTGATCAGGGACTGAGCTGAGTTAGGCCAGCGTTGGAGTTTTAATAAGATTCATTCCACAACTTAGTTTTTTCTAATCTTAGAGCCTGATCTTTCCAGGTTTTTGATTGGGAGCCTGTTGGGTCTTTGTCTCTTAATCTCTGAAAGACTGGAGAGTTTCCATTATCCTCTTTAGAGGATTTCAGCTTAATTCTTTAGCCTCCCACTGCCTGTAGTTAGTTTCACAATCTGGCCCCTGTTTTGAAGGAGAGACAGGTTGAGTGAATTTGTATCAGTGAGTTGAATGCAGGCTCCCTCCCTGTGCAGTGTCTTTGTTTCCTAAATACCACAGAGCTGTAGGAGATGCCACTGTTGGTCTAGTCCACCAGTATGTGGGGAATGTCCTGTGGGGAAGTCTGGGTGCGTGTTTAAAGTCCCTCAAATCTCCAATTGTCACTCCACCTTCCTAACAACTGCTGAGGACTCCAATAGTTCATTTTAGCCCCAACAGAGCCCCTTTGCTTGGACCAAGGCCAATGGTGAGTTGGCAGCCACAAGCAGAAAATTCCTCCAGGGTGAAAATTACTGGAGATTGTCCTCTTACCTCGAAATGGGTGTGTCCCCTCTGGAAGTTTAATTCGTCTTGTCCTTATTTCTTCCAAAGCTTCCTGATATCCTGATAACAAAACATAATTTTTGTAGTAAATATAGCCTTTTATTCCCTTCCCTGACATACTGCACTTTACCTAAAAGTCTATGTACTACAATTTTTAAAAAAAGACTTTATTTATTTGATAGAGACACAGCGAGAAAGGGAACACAAGCAGAGGGAGTGGGAGAGGGAGAAGCAGGCTTCCCACTGAGCAAGGAGCCTGATGCAGGGCTTGATCCCAGGACCCTGAGATCATGACCCAAGCCAAAGGCAGACGCTTAACTGAGCCACGCAGGCACCCCTTACAATTTTAATATTCATAAGTGATTTTGTGTTTTATATCTTATTGTCTGTTTGTTTGTTTCTTTTTTTTTTTTTTAC